GCCACACATTTTTTATTTTTCGTTTCAGAGGCCCAAGGCCCCTACTGAAACATGCTGAAAAACAACTGGAAAAGAAACAAATTAATAATAAAATAAATTATTTTTATTATGTCTCCCATTTGTAATATATATCCTCTCATACAATATAAAATGTTATATATAAATCCATGTCTACATGAACTTTTATAAGTGATGGAAGGGGAAGGATGTGACCCAGACACAGTCACTCGATATAAATATGTCAGAAACAAATAATGGGGACTGCAACGAATTAGCAACAGGTTTTTCTCACTGTTATTTTGATACATCATGTTAAAGGGGAAGTGTACATGCAAAAATCACTTTCTTTCTTTTTCTAAACAAAACGCAATTTTAGAATTAGTTAGTATCTGTGTTTGAAAATATACACTCATTTTTTTTTCACAGTGAAAGTAGGAAGCTCACAATAGTGTTAAAATGATATGCTGTTATGAAGCCTTCGTTTTACGAGCGAAATAGGCCTGAGTTATCCCCCTTAGATTATGACGTAATTGGTGCCAATTCAACTGGGTCCCTGTCTATTCTCAACGCAAAAGATATCAAGGACCAGTTTGCGGTAAAACAACATGGTCTACGACACACTCGGCGCAGTGGTGACTCATCATAACACAATTCTGGCTGGCATCTGAGACGCTAGAATCACAAAACTGTACCTACACCACGTGAAGCGGCTCTAACAAAGCATGATGACGTCATAATGTTTATCAATTGGCACCAATGACGTCATATTGCAAGGGGCATAAGCCATGGTGTTTTTGTTATGGAAATAGAACACTTGGTAAATGTGAAAAATATAAATCGTTTTAATGCAAAAAATATGTTAATTAAATTTGATGTTTTTATATTTTTGTCTATGACACTTCTATGTTAACACTTTTAATGTGGAAAAAGTACAAGAAAAATTGGTTCATTTCCGTGTGAACTTGCCCTTTAACCGCTTTAAATTCCATATGCATTTATTAGGACATCTGAAAGCAACACAATCATAAATGTTCATGTCTTTTCAAGCATACTTCATTTCAGGACATAGTAGAAAACTGACACCACTTAAATTACATTTGTCATTATGCAACATCACTTATTATTTTTATTAGCCATCTGTTAACCATAACAATAGTACTGCGAAATAGTTGTGTTTCATATTCAACCGTATTAGTGATTAAATACTTTTCCTCTCATTACCATGATGGCAGTGCACAGCTGTAATCGTCACATTGTAGAATGTGTGTGTACCTTAGTGTGCATGATATGATTCTACCGCTGTATGCTGATGGAAACAGATAGTTACGAGACAGTTGCTGTAGGGTACTATAGAGTCCAGAAAAGATTTTTAACAAAATGGTACCAGTGGTAAGTGTGCGTGGTATTACCGGTATATTGGTATACTGAGGTTCACTCTATCCACGATACGTATCACAATATCATTTTTAAATGCTCGATATATCAGGTTATTTCAAATGGCAATTTTTATCCTGTGTTTAATGTTATACACTTGCCAAATACCCAAATCGTGAATCCGGAACGTGCATCCATGCCTATTTATTGTATGAGTAAACATTATGTTGCACCAGCATCTTGTTTTGTTCCATTAATCATGTTAATGAACTTCAATTCCTAAAGCGGTGTTTCAAACTGCTTCTGAATTCAAAATTTAGAATTTTACAAAATATTGTGATACGTATTGCCATACGGCCTTGCACATTGTAAAATATTGTGATACACTTTAAAACTCCAATACCCATCCCTAGCAAGTAGCAGTGTCACCTTTGTCAAGTGGCTGTTGACTATATATCCAGGTGAGCTACAGTCATGTGACATCAGTTTTTATAACACTCTGGGCCCTGTTACACAAAGCTATTTTAGTGCTAAGGTGATCGTACCTCCCATACTTTAACAAAGGCTTATGGCAGTCATTGCACTAAGATCGCTTTGTGCAACATGGCCCCGTTCATCTATTGATTTAGATGGCATCAGTTCACATGGTTTCCATAACAAACATACCTCAAAGAACATTTCTAGACATAACTACAAGGGTGTTTTTCAGCAACAACCTAATAAATACTTGAACTTAAGGCTTGTGAAATATCTTGAAGGTTGTGTGGGTGGTCGATATACCTTATGACTAATAGTAGCACATTTATTAATCAGTCATGATCAGCTGTCTAATGTACACTAAATCTTGGAGTATCACTTAGAAATCAAGGGGGCTCCTAGAGACCTTCGACCGCCTCCATGGTCTAGCGGATAGAGCGTCTGCCTGGAGAGAGGAAAGGTCTGTGGTTGGATCCCCAGCCATGTCATACCATAAGATGTTTAAAGATGGTACATGCTACCTTGACTGGTGCTCGGCTTCAAACATTGTACCCATGTCGGGAATCGAACCTGGGTCTTCAGCGTGACGAGCGAACGCTTTAACTACTAGGCTACCCGACCGCCCCTTAAGGGGCTAAAACAAGACCTGGTCGGATCAGTGTCTGTATACTGTTTATGAGTGGGGTGTCCATGTTAAGCTGCAGCATGGTATCTGAGAGGGCGAGTACTATAAAACCAGCATTATTCCAGACCATAGATTTACACAAGTCTCTAAGGCAATAATTATTAGTTTTAATCATAATTTCAAGATTATATTCAAAATAAGAACAAATTGTCCCAATAAAGGTTTTTATGTAATGTCTGCTTATCTGGACTTGCATGTCATAAGGATAGAAAGACAATACTCCCATGGACTTATTATTCTGTACAGCTTTGGAGCGAGGCTATCCAGACTAGTACAAGCAGCCACACTCGAAAGTTCACCATATAAGTGCAATAAATCTTGAATGCAACTTTAAACCCTATTCCAGCTCATCTAACCTCCAGACCTCAAGACTCTTTGGCTACCATTTTTTAAGTTGAACCTAACCACTCCCCAAATTTTTTATTTATAAATTTAGGGCTATTACCATTATGAGTATGGCGTTGTCAGCCTTGACGTCATTGCAACATCTTAAACACTGATTGACAAATTAATAGGTAACAAGACCACAATAACACATAGAAATGTATGCACCGAGAACAAATGAAGAAGTGAAAAATAAACCCATAAAACTTTATAACTATTTTACAGAACGAAGGAATTACGACTTTAGACTGAAAAATTGCATGTCTGCAATTACAAATGCTGACCTGAAATTTTCCCTTTGCAGAGTGACAATGGTTTTATGCTGCTTTAAACAATATTCCAGCAAATATCACTGCAGGGGACACCAGAAATGGGCTTCATACATTGTACCCATGTGTTGAATCAAACTTGGGACTTAGGCGTTATGAGTGAACGCTTTAACTACTAGGCTACCCCACCACCCTAAACCTGTGCAGAGCAATGCAGTGCTAAATCAACTTAACTAGCTCACGATTAGAAAGAAGCAGTGTAGACTGTACACCAGTCTCCTGCACATCCTGCCATTCTCCAACCATACCCCCAGTAACCAGATACACTTGACATTACATTGAGATGCAATTTGAGTTACACTGTAACTTCCTTCAGATCATCATTTTAACATTTGAAATTGACATTTGAATATTGTTGAAATAAACATTATATATTTTTGGTCACCTGTGGGGGTTTAATGATTTTTTCCCGAGGTTGTCAGATTTTATGCTGAGTTAGCTGTTTAAGCTAAAACATGAATAATGACTTTGGTATTATGGGATGCAAGACAAATACCTCGGAGCAAGTCCCTAATTAACCTACTATGATCTGGGTGATGATAAATAACGATTTGTGAAACAAGACATGATCCATCAATAACCCATCTCATAACATATGCAGGTATATCAACTGCATGTGATTAATTCAACACATGGAATGAGTGCATAGCACACTGTATGCTGCAACAAAAAGACACATATGAAGGGCACGAGGCAAGTTACAATACCTTGTTAACACCACTAATGACAGCACCTGATAACCTCAGGCTTGGATAGATCAGGTCAAGTCTTGTGATACACCCACATTGTCACCTATTATCTTCTTGGAGTTAACTGCTGACAGAACAAAACCGGCCTTTGACCAAATCACGATCTGACTAAAGTTGAGTGAGATAACTACATTGAAATAAACCTGTTGTCCTAAATTAGTTATCACTGTCCACAATGCAGTCAGCGGTAATGTGATACCTATAGCTGCAGCATGTTGATAGGGGTAAGGGGTCAGATGCCTAATCTGCATGACTGAATTTAAGATACCAATTACACATACAAAGACTTATTTACACACTGCGGGAGGGAGGAAGAAGGGTGTGGGGGACAGCTGCCTCTCAAACAACATACCCAGCAAGTCGGTGTCAGGTTATTCCAACTTTTCTCGTCTGCTCATGATCAATCTAGCAGAATTTTACCCTAATTATATAGAGGCAATCTCTTGATCGAAAGCAAGGCACTATACCTAATTAAAATGTCTAGACCTAATTGTAAACATCCATCATCATGCAATCAGATATGATTTTAGCCAACATTCACCATAACATTTTCATATGAAACTGCAGTAATAAAACTCAGGAGCACTCAGCTGGTATATGACAAATATCCTTACCATGCATTTACTTGTTGAATCATGCGATGATATATGAAACATTGCAAAACAGTCTATATTGACAATTAGATGGATGGGTAATTATCTCAAAATCAACATCCAACATAATTCCACAGTGAAATTATCTTAAAATATAAATTAAAGGTGCTGCAAAACCATTACGACATAAGGTTTGAAGTGGCTAATCAATAAAAATGTCATCTTATATGAAGACGATGATTCATCAAGTGATCAGAATGTTTAGTGGATGGTAGCTGTCAGGACAACTCACCAACATGCAATTAAGATATATAATGTAAATATACCAAGATACCTTATTCGAGTTTATAGATATATCATGCATACCTTTATGGACGGCATAGACACAGAAGTTGCATACTTAACCTACCTGATCTTTATGTTCGATTGACAGCTGAACAAGCTATAGCCTATTAGCTTATTTGGATATATAGTCTCATGTAGTCTTCAGCGTTGTATGAAATAACTTTCTTTAACTGTAAAAAACTCTAAATCCAGCTTAACCTCGCTTCGGGAACAAAGAGGCAACAGAGAAATCGCACTTCCCGAGTTCACAGGTGGTCTCAGATGGTAAACAAAACACTTCCTCCAGCGAGTTGCTCACGCAGTCTACGTCATCTCGAGTGAGTGTCGATATTTCCACCTCCCGCGGAAGTAGAACTTCCAGAAAATGTTACTGTATGCGTGTTTCACTTCCTGTTGTCTATGGGAACACTTGAATACTTACCGAAGCAGTCTTGTCCTTCACATCAAGCTTTTCTACCAAAACGTGAATGGAGAGCAAGCTGTCATTCTGTACACGGCAGCCATGCCGTATTTGTTATTTCCGTTGAGCAGAATGGAATACATGAATCTGATTGGTCGGCTTTATTACAGCGAAGGGTAAATTTCTAGCGGGAAAACAAAAAGGTTATGATTTGGCGATTCTGCAATGCATACCATTTTACCGTTCAATACATTTTGTACTCAGCTCCCGATAGTTAATATTGTGACACTATTTGGCTTGTGGGCGGTGGGGTAGCCTAGTAGTAAAGCGTACGCTCGTCACGCGGAAGAACTGGGTTCGATTCCCCGATTCCACATTGGGTACAATGTGTGAAGCCCATTTCTGGTATCCCCCGCCGTGATATTGCTGGAATATTGCTAAAAGCGGCGTAAAACCATACTCACTCAGTCACTATATATATACAGTAAGGCAAAACATGTATTATTTCGTAAAAGGCTACGATTTAAATTCAAATCTAAAAGGTAATTCAAATGTAACGACAGTAACAAATCTTGAAATATTTATATCATCGGGGGGTCCGTATACCAATTGCGTGGATTGGTCCTCATGATATCAAACACTGGATTGTCTGGTCCAGACTTGGTTAGTTTTCAGACAGCCGTCATATAGCTGGAATATTACCGAGTGCGGCGTTCGACAACAAACCAACCAACAATCAATCATCTAATATTTATTTGCAAACAGTGAATATTTTAACTGTAGACAATAGTTTCTAAATCTGAAAACTGTACAATAGCATTGTCATCCAGCATTCTCTGATTAGATGAACCTACTATAAGAAATGTGATATATTATCTCATGTACTTTTGGTACCTGACACTGTAGCCTATAAATCATTTGATTTTCGAACTTTCGAGACTAATCCAATTAACAGGAACCTGTTATAATATATATGCAAACGTGTAGACACAAACGAAGTCCCGATCTCTATCTGCAGGGCTCCTCATGCAGTGTTTAGTCCGGTTTGTCCTTAATTAATGCTGCGTCAGTTAGCAGACAGACAGAGAATAGCTGTGATATTGGTCTGCGCATGAACATTGTCCGTGTTCGATTTCAACACCCTGCACGACCCTGGTGATGATCCCTCGTTGACCATGTAAGGTATGACCCAAATTAATTTCGGTTGACCCATGCTTGCACATATTAACGGATTTACGTCATACTTCGGTTGACCAAAGTTGCCAACACCATCGAGCCCCTGGGGAGCGGTGCTTTGTTTAGCAGCCTCCTAGTGACGTCATCGTCAAAGCTAATTAGTTTCATATATTGATTCTTTCATAAATAAAAACGTGTCAATGAATATACTTAACTAGGTATTGATAGTATATATGCTTCAGGGAAATTTAACTTTCGATTTTGTATATGAAATACTTTAGAATGATTAAGGCAACTGATGATGTTTTTACACCTCTGTCCCATTTTTTCAACCTCACATTGAACATTTTTGTTTTACTTGCGTTTTTGTTTGCTTTTACAAGAAAAGACGGCACAAACTGGTGACCTGATCTTTTTTATGAGACACAATTCATAGAGATTTTTAGTTTTGATAGGGTTTCTAATTTGTGGGGTTTCTTTTACAGCAAGCGCCCTCATGGCTGGCTACCAGGTGAACTGTTGTAGACATTGCATATATACCCTGATCCAATCAATACAGCGACGACGGTGAGTAGAGTTTCATTGCCAACCGCACTAAGAACGTGTCTAGAAAATGAATTCAGAGGGTGTTTTGGATGTATTTATTTTTAGGAGACCATGGCGAAGTATATCCACCCATGATCGTCGAATTCTTTTGACAAATATGCCTTCAGGGTAATCGATACAGCAGACTGGCCCGTTTTTCTTTCATAACCGAGCCGTATATGCATGGATGAGGTAAACCCTAGCTTCCACCTTGCGTGGGGGTCACTCCCAAGAGACATTAGTTGTCTTTTCGAGTGGACCTTTATAGAGCGAGTGTGAAACTGTACGGACGTCAGAGTCGCGGTCATCTGACCGACCTCCCGTGTAAAAAAAAAAGAAAAGCCGAACGTCGTGAGAACTTCACATTATTGAGTATTATTACAAGTCCATCGCCCATGTAATACACACGTAAGCTGCCGGAACTGAAGAACGCTGACTATATGAGGTCACACACACCTTCGACAGCTGAAGAACGCTGGCTATATGACGTTAAATCCACCTGTGACAGCTGAAAAACGCTGACTGTATTTAAGAATTGACCTACACTTTGTGTGAGTTCATTGGAGTACGAACCTTCATAGAGTGAGGGCCAAACTGTATGATCAGAAAGAACGCTTATGTATGTTTTCGTGCTAGGGAATTCCCAGGGGTTTCCCCAGGAATGTGGAAGTAGTCCGTCAGTGTTTACGTCATTTCAAGAACACGGTCTCGTGAAAACGTATGAACGTCAAATTGTGTCGTTCATACACTTATATTTTTTTAATTTGACGTTTACACGATATACGGCTTTTCCATTGGACGAGAGGTCGGTCACATGACCGCGAAATTGACGTTCATAAGTGTATGAACGACACAATTTGACGTTCATACGTTTTTCACGAGATCGTGTTCTTGAAATGACGTAAACACTGACGAACTACTTCCACATTCCTGGGGAAACCCCTGGGAATTCCGTAGCAGGGAAGGTTCATACTCCAATGAACTCACACACTTATGAACGTCAATTTTGCGGTCATGTGACCGACCTCTCGTCCAATGGAAAAGCCGTATATCGTGTAAACGTCAAATTAAAAAAATATAAGTGTATGAACGACACAATTTGACGTTCATACGTTTTCACGAGACCGTGTTCTTGAAATGACGTAAACACTGACGGACTACTTCCACATTCCTGGGGAAACCCCTGGGAATTCCGTAGCAGGGAAGATTCATACTCCAATGAACTCACACAAAGTGAAGGTCAATTCTTAAATGAACGTCAATTTCGCGGTCATGTGACCGACCTCTCGTCCAATGGAAAAGCCGTATATCGTGTAAACGTCAAATTAAAAAAATATAAGTGTATGAACGACACAATTTGACGTTCATACGTTTTTCACGAGACCGTGTTCTTGAAATGACGTAAACACTGACGGACTACTTCCACATTCCCGGGGAAACCCCTGGGAATTCCCTAGCACGAAAACATATAATGCATTATTTCTGATCATTTAGAACCTTTAATCTTGGTCTCAGCATTTCAGTATACATTGAGAAACGTAAGAAAGCTTGACTGCATGATTGTTTACGAATTTCCTCGCTACGGCCCATCCTAATGAACAAACGAAAAAATTGCACATCCAAACTATCGTCAGTATCGACTCGATCTGTGTCTAGGTTGACAGTGACGGTCTCCAGCAATCTACGAATTTACCCTGGTGTCTGTTTGACGCATCTTTAATCACCTGTCAATAATCGGTCAGTTGATCAATGATGACTAACACATGTTACCGCCACAGGTTCATTAACAACTTCGGAAATCCTCCCGTCACGTTTATGGTGTCGGCCATTTTGACGTCTTGTACTTGACGTAAATGTATTACGACGCGCTGTCATTGTGACTGACTTACTGAAGTAGTTCATTACAGACCTTTCTCATCTAATGGGGATATTATATGAACACATGTGTTGCGTAAGATGTTTCTGAAGAGCAAGTTGTGCATCCATACGCTCATGTCACCTCTCTTTTTGGGTAACTATTTTATTCCGCGATATAGCTGGTTGTTGTTTGGCTGTCATTGTAAACATGAAGTCACACGCACTAAATAAAATTGTGTTTAGATCTTGGCCTACACCCTTTGAGGTAAGAACTTGTGATAAAAAAATATAAGAATTCAGAATTGACCTTCACTTTGTGTGAGTTCATTGGAGTATGAACCTTCATAGAGTGAGGGCCAAACCGTATGAACGTCGGAGCTTGCGCGGTCATGTGACCGACCTCTCGTCCAATGGAAAAGCCGTATATCGTGTAAACTTCAAATTAAAAAATTATATGACGTTACATACCTGTGGCAGCTGAAGATCGCTGACTGTATATGACGTTACACACCTGTGACAGTTGAAGATCACTGACTGTATATGACGTTACACACCTGTGGCAGGTGAAGATCACTGACTGTATTATATGACGTTACACACCTGTGACAGCTGAAGAATGCTGACAATATGACGCTACACACCTGTGACAGCTGAAGATCACTGACTATATGACGTTACACACCTGTGACAGCTGAAGATCGCTGACTGTATATGACGTTACACACCTGTGGCAGGTGAAGATCACTGACTATATGACGTTACACACCCGTGACAGCTAAAGAGGACTGACTATATGACGTTACACACCCGTGACAGCTGAAGAATACTGACTGTATATGACGTTACACACCTGTGGCAGGTGAAGATCACTGACTGTATTATATGACGTTACACACCTGTGACAGCTGAAGAATGCTGACAATATGACGCTACACACCTGTGACAGCTGAAGATCACTGACTATATGACGTTACACACCTGTGACAGCTGAAGATCGCTGACTGTATATGACGTTACACACCTGTGGCAGGTGAAGATCACTGACTATATGACGTTACACACCCGTGACAGCTAAAGAGGGCTGACTATATGACGTTACACACCCGTGACAGCTGAAGAATGCTGACTATATGACGCTACACACCTGTGACAGCTGAAGATCACTGACTGTATATGACGTTACACACCTGTGACAGCTGAAGATCACTGACTATATGACGTTACACACCTGTGACAGCTGAAGAATGCTGACTATATGACGCTACACACCTGTGACAGCTGAAGATCACTGACTATATGACGTTACACAACTGTGACGGTACACGGATACAACCCATCAAACCATATTCCCCGAGTGATAAAAGTACAATTTATTTATCTTACCGTCATG